CTTGCTGCTCATTATCATCAACCTGCTGCTCATTATCATCAACCTGCTGCACACTATCATCATCTTGCTGCTCATTATCATCAACCTGCTGCTCACTATCGTCATCTTGCTGCTCATTATCATCAACCTGCTGCACACTATCATCATCTTGCTGCTCATTATCATCATCCTGATGCAGTTGACTAGGAATCTAGAATTGTAGTAGAGCATTCGAAAGGAGAAATTATTAGTATAACATTTTAAAACTTGAAATTACATATAGTGAAGGGAAAAGAAATTATCAACTTAATTTGCTTTTGAATTGTAGGTAACAATGGTAGTAGATAATAAATTTGGTTTTAGTTGCTACCTACTATAAATATATTGAAAAAATAAAAAAGATTTAGTGGTACTACCTAAAAGATTGAAAGAAGGTAAATGCATAATTGAAATCAATCAAGAAGACAAGAGAATTAAAGAAAAAAGATTTACTATTATATATAGTTAAAGGCTGAAAATACCTCAATTGGAGGTCCTGCCCATTGGATCCTTCTTTAGATTATTTCGAAGTACCTAATGTGAGAGATGTAGACCCTCTCGGAACCACTTTCTCTGTCGCATCTTTCGTTTAACTCAGGGCATCCATAAATACCAAGGCTTTCTAATTTGGAGAGGCATCCAATGGCTTCCATATGTTTCAGAGATTTGCAGTTGGAAATCGTCAGAGTTTGAAGAGAGGATAAGTTTCCAAACCAATTTGGCAAAGCTTCCAGTCCATCAAAATCCCTTATTCGGAGAGACTTAAGGGCAGTTAGGTGTTGAATTTGATCCAGCAGACGTTCTCTTGGTTCTCCCCATGCAATCAAAGACAAATATTCAAGATGAGATCCGATGAAGCCCAGATCTGGAAATTCCTTGAGCTCTGTTGAGAAACCACCAATAGTCAGCCCCTTCAAGCGAGCAAGGCAGGCAGGGTTAGGGGTACTCCAGCTCCTCCTCAAATCATCTGGAATAGAGATTAGATTATGACAGTCGGAGATATCCAAATACTCAAGAGCAGTGCATGATGGCAACCCACTTGGCAAACCTCTTAATCCACCACACTCTGTTACAGTCAACTCTTTGAGACACATGGCAGTAGATAAATCCTCTCCTATGCTTTTCAATTGCCCACACCTGGTTATTTCAATTTTTTGAAGAGAGGACAGCCCATGGAGGTTCGGAAAGGACATCAAACCATCGCACCTATTTACCCTCAACTCTTTGAGACACGTGGCAGTAGATAAATCCTCTCCTATTCTTTTCAATTGCCCACAGCAGCTTATGTCAATTTTTTGAAGAGAGGACAGCCCATGGAGGTTCGGAAAGGACATCAAACCATGGCACCAAAATATAGCCAACTCTTTGAGACACGTGGCAGTTGATAAATCCTCTCCTATGCTTTTCAATTGCCCACAGCTGCTTATATCAATTTTTTGAAGAGAGGACAGCCCATGGAGGTTCGGAAAGGACATCAAACCATCACACAAGCCTACTTGCAACTCTTTGAGACATGTGGCAGTAGATAAATCCTCTCCTATGCTTTTCAGTTGCTCACACTGGTGTATTTCAATTTTTTGAAGAGAGGACAGCCCATGGAGGTTCGGTAAGGACATCAAACCATTGCACCCATCTACAGTCAACTCTTTGAGACACGTGGCAGTAGATAAATCCTCTCTTATGCTTTTCAATTGCTCACACCAGCGTATTTCAATTTTTTGAAGAGAGGACAGCCCATGGAGGTTCGGAAAGGACATCAAACCATTGCAGGACTGTATAGTCAACTCTTTGAGACACGTGGCAGTAGATAAATCCTCTCCTATGCTTTTCAATTGCCTACAGCTGACTATTTCAATTTTTTGAAGAGAGGACAGCCCATCTACACTGGGTATGGACATCAGCCTATGACAAGTCTGAATATTTAACTGTTGTAGACACGTGGAGTTAAATCTAGCCTCATCTCCGATCATCCTCAATGTCGTGCATTGCTGAAGTTCAGGTACCTCAAGGGATTGTAATTTACTAATCATCAGAAGTTTTTCCAATTTATGGCAATCCCCTATATGTACTTCTTTGAGAGACTTCATGGCATCTGGTCCAACCTCTACCCGAACCAGTTCTTGACAGCTCTTAATGATGAGTTTCTGAAGGGACGAATCTGCAATGCTTTTCAAATTCTTGCAATTTGTAATTTCCACCTTTGCCTCATTGTTGAGCGAAAGTGATGGAATGCTTTCCAACCAGGGGCATTTATAAAAGGTCATGAACATTAGATTTTTGAGAAAATTCACTCTTTCTGACATTGAATTTTCTATTTCTGACATCCATGCAGGACAACTTTTACCACAATAGTATTCAACAATTAGCCCTTTCAAGTTTGAATGAGGTTGGAGGCCTTCCAAGATATCTTCATCATGTTTGCATCTATCTGCACTACCATTTGATTCCCGATCAAACACCAATTGCAACTCTTGAATTGTAGCCTTTTCAGAAAGTCTCGCTCCCATGGCTTCTTCTTTGTCTCTAAGCATACCCAAATTACAAATCTTTAATTTTCCACTAAGTTGGCTTAAACATCCCAATTCTTCAATTTGATGTCCCTTCTGTTGGCCCACAACAAATAATTGTAATGTTTTCAAACAAGTTAATCCACCAATCCCAGCTGGCATAAGCTTTTCATCATTGAAATAAATGTGTCTCAAATTGACTAAATCCCATATTCCTTTCAAAGACCTCTTGATTTCCCCACAACTCATAAATCTAAATGTCTGCAAATGATAGAGCTTAGTGATGAACTTGGGAAGTTCTTTGATTTTAGTTTCTGAAACATCTAAAAACCTTAAATGCTTCATTTTTGCCAAAAAAGCTGGCAACTCATCAATATTAGCACCACAGAAACTAAGAACTCGCACCTTTATAAAGTTTTCAAGCTTGTTTTGAGAAACATCAACACGTGAAAACAAGGTACGCAGATCCCTTATTTTCGTTTCTGGCACACCCTCCTTAGAAATGAGATTCAAATGTCGAACGTCTGCAGCAATATCACTACTACTACTACCCTCCAAAATCAATGTTTGAGACTCTGAAACAGATTGTGCTAGATCATGAATGAAATCATGCACTTTGCAAGAAATAACGCTGCCATAAGAGTCTTTTTCTGCATCTTGAAATAACGAGTATGAGAACAAGTCATTGAAATACTTGCCACCAATATCTTCCATCTCCTTGTAGCGTTTTCTAGACGGTTGGAGATACCCTTCACCCATCCAGAGCTGGATTAACATCTCCTTTTCCATGACAAAGTCTTTGGGGAAAATAGAGCAAAAAGCAAAACATTGTTTCAAAGCAGGTGTTGGCAAGCGATTAAAACTCAACTGTAACACACGCAAAACTCCTCCGGCTTCTTGTATTGAACCCCATTCTTCACTGTTATTTTTAATTGACAACCAGACATCCTTGCTCCTATTATTGCTCAAAAACCCCCCAATAACTTTTGCAACTAACGCTACACCTTGACATTTTCTAGCAATGTCCCATCCAATCCCCTCCAATTCTGAAGGGAATGATGGGCTAACAGATACTCTTTGCTTGATTATGGACCAACAATCCTCATCTGCTAGCTTCTTGAGATCATGGATGTGATCAGGAGGTGTTCCCATTAAGGTAGCTACATTTTTACTTCGAGTTGTGACAAGAACCCTACCCCCAACTTTTTCACCTATTGTCAACAAACAGTTCCTTAGGGATTCCAATTTTTTGGTATCTTCATCCCACACATCATCTAATATGAGGAGATACTTTTTTCCCTCATGCTCTTCCTTCAGCTTTTCTTCTTTGGCCTTTTCCTTCAACTTTTCTTCTTTGGCCTTTTCCTT